CACTGCACTCCAGTCTGGGTGACAGAGTGAGACTCCAACTCAAAAAAAAAAAAAAACCTACTATAAAGCATATGAACATTGACTGGCTATTTGATATTAGAAGGAATAATTGTTTAATTTTTAAATACTGTGGCAGGGCACGGTGGCTCACACCTATAATTCTAGCACTTTGGGAGGCTGAGGTGGGAGGACTTCCTGAGCTCATGGGTTCGAGACCAGTCTGAGCAACTTGGCGAAATCTCATCTCTATAATAAATCAAGAAAAGTTAGCCAGCATGATGGTACATGCCTGTAGTTTCAACTACTTGGAAGGCTGAGATGGAGGGATCACCTGAACCCAGCAATTTGAGGCTGCGGTCACTGTGAGCATGCCACTAACACTCCAGCCTGGGTGACAGAGTGAGACTCTGACTCAAAAAAAAAATACCATGACTAATTTTTTTAAGTCCTTATATTTTAAAGATATGTTCTAAAGTGTTTACAGATGAAATGATATCATTTCTCAGGTTTGCTTGAAAATAAATCAGCAGAGGAATGGCGGGAGGAGTATAGATGATTTTCCCTGAGCTGGTAGATGGGTACTAGTGATGGGGATGCATTGTTATTTCTACTTATGTATATGTGTGAAATATTTTATAGAATAAAACATTTTTTTAAAAATCAAAATAATTACACCAACAATAAGAAAGAAACAATAAGAAAAAAATTATACCAATATAACAAAATATTTCCAATATTCAAAATCACATAGTATTCTAGAATGCATGGCTTGATTGTGCTGTAAGACTGCTAGAGAAACTCAGAGGCCACACTAGGATGATACATACTTGTTTGTTTTGGGGGTTTCTGTATAATTCTGTCAATATCACTTCAGAGCATAAGAGTGATGATAGTTTTATTTTGTATTTTCTTTAGAGTTCCACAAACATGTGGAGTTTGATTTCCTTATCAAGGGCCAGTTTCTGCGAATGCCCTTGGTCAAACACATGGAACTGGAAAGCATTTCATCAGTAAGTCCAAATACTGAATTTCTGCACTTTACTTAAAAGTCATTAATAGATATTATAGGTAAACTTTTAGAATCTGCCTGAATCTATCTTTAGCACCCTGCTTTCTTTTGATTATTGTTTTTTTCCTATATATTTGAACTTCTGTTTTTATGTATTCAATTTTGAAATCCTATCTGGAAGTATTTTATTCAAGAAGTAAATGAATGAATATATTTTTTATATTTATGAAAGAACTGGCAAGAAAAGGAATATCAAATATATGTGTAGTGCTAATCCAGATGCACAAACTAATTGAGCACAAGTAAAAACTATGGGTTAGGTTATTGTGATTTTTTTTTTTCTGAGTTGGAGTCTCAATCTGTCGCCCATGCCGAAATACAGTGGGACGCCCACGGCCACCACAGCATCAACCAGCTGGGCTCAGGCAATCCTTCTGTCTCAGTCTTCTAAGTAGCTGGGACTCTGGGTGCATGCCACCACATCCAGCTAATTTTTTGATTTGTTGTAGAGATGAAATCTCACCATGTTGCCCAAGGCTGGCCTCGAATCCCTGGACTCACGCAATCCTCTTGCTTCTACCTCCCAAACTGCTGAGATTACAGGCATGAGCCACCATACCTGGCCGGTTATTGTGATTGATTGTGATTCTTCCCCTCCTCTAATTTTAAAACTTTCCTTTTAATATTGCTTTTATAATTTATGATTGATTTTATTATTTTTTGGTAATTAAAAAAATTATAATAAATACATAACATGAAATATATCATTTTAACCATTTTTAAATGTATGATTCAATGGCATGGCATTAGATACATTCACAATATTGTGTATCCATTTCCAGAACTGTGTCATCATCTGACTGATGAGCTCTGTACTTATTAAACAATGCTTTTGTTTTTAATTTCAAAGTTTTCTTACATATTTTTTGCCCACTTTTATCATAAGACTTCCATGGAAAAAAACCTGTCATGTACAATGTATATTGGTAGGGGTGACAGGTACACTTAAAACCTAGGCTTTGTCACCACTATACAATGTATCTATGTAACCAAAAACCATTTGTACCCCTAAAACTGCTGAAATTAAAAAAAAATAATAATACAACGTTGTTAATATTTCTTAATACTATTCTTAAAATACCGTTAGGTCAAGTAAGTTTTTTACTTTTTGAATGGGTCTATATTTTCTGAGTTATGAAGGGAATACATTAAATTAGGAATTCTTTATCTTTACAGTGTGATATTTTAAAACTAAGTCACTTGATTGGTTTCTGGTTTCTCTCTGTGACTAGGAAGAGGTTGTGGAACTAGAATATGTGGAGAAGTACACTGCACCCCAACCAGAGCAATGCATGTTCCATGACGACTGGATCAGTTCAATTGAAGGGGCAGAGGAATGGTATTGCCAACTGAATGCTCCTGTGTTTTCTTATGTACCTCCTTCAGTCTTTCAAAATCCATTATGTGAATTTTTTTTCTGATTTGCTTTTCTTTTTTGTGATGTATTGGTTACCATGCCAATCAGAAAGATCTTTGCATTCAGTGTGTTCAAAAAGAAACAAGTGTTTATTAATAGATTTTCTTTTCTATAGTAACATTTGTCTTTTTTTTGAGTCAGAGTCTCACTCTGTCTTCCAGGCTGGAGTGCAGAGGCACACTCATGGCCACTGAACCTTGACCTGCTGAGCTCAGGCAATCCTTCTGCCTCAGCCTTCCAAGTAGCTGGAACTACAGGCGTGTGCCACCATGCCTGACTATTTTTTGCCCAAGCTATTCTCAAACTCGAGGCTGCAGGGGTTGTGAGCATGCCACCATACCCAAGCCTGGGCAACAGAGTGAGACTTAAACTCAAAAAAAAAAAAAAAGACTAAGGGTATAATTTCATTTCGTACAGGAAAAGATAACTTTTATAGTCACAGATCTCTTGGCCTACTAATGTGAAGATGTATATCGTGCTTATTTGAGGGCTAAGAAGTAACAAATGGCTTAGAGTAAATCCCCTAGTTGTACAAATAGACACAAATAGATCATAGTAGGAGCTTACTTCTTTCAAAGAGTGTCTCTCTGGTTTCTTTTTATTTATGTATGTATGTATATATGCATGCATGCATGTATTTATTTTGATTCAGAGTGTTGCTCTGTCACCCAGGCTGGAGTGTAGTGGCATGCTCACGGCTACTGTAGCCTCGATGATTCTTCCACCTCAGCCTTCCAAGTAGCTGGAACCACAGACATGTGCTACCATGCCTGGCTAATTTTTTGATTTATTGTAGAGAGGAGGTCTTGCCATGTTGTTCAGGCTGATCTCAAACTCCTGAGCTCAGGCAATCCTCTCGCCTCCGCCTCCCAAAGTGCTGGGATTACAGTTGTGAGCCACCACTCCCGGCTCCCTGGATTTCTTAACACAAAGTAATGTTTCTGCTGGTTATACTTTTACTTTAAGAGGTTTTGTTTTTTTTTGAGTTGGAGTCTCACTCTGTAGCCTAGACTGGAGTGCAGTGGCCATTCCCAGCCACCGCAGCCTTGACCTGCTGGGCTCCGGCGATCCTTCTGCCTCAGCCTTCCAACTAGCTGGAACGACAGGCGTGCGCTACCACGCCCAGCTAATTTTTTGATTTATTGTAGAGATGAGGCCTCGCCAAGTTGCCCAGGCGAGTCTTGAACCCTCGGGCTCAGGCAATCCACTTGCCTGAGCCTCCCAAAAGCATAGGATTACAGACTGAGCCACTGAGTCCGGCTTACTATAAGAGGTTTTAATGGTTTTCACTGGTTAAGTACAAAGAACAATAGATTGAGTATCCCTTATCTGAAATGCTTGGGACCAGAAATGTGTTTTGGATTTTTTGAATTGTGGAATATTTTTATATACATAATGAGATACCTTGGCGATCTGATCTGAGTCTAAACATGAAATTTATTTATGTTTCATATACACCTTATACATGTTGCCTGAAGGTAATTTTATATAATATTTTAAATAATTTTGTGCACAAAACAAAGTTTTACCTGTGCTTTCACTATGTCCCATCACATGAAGCCAGTTGTGAAATTTTGCATTTGTGATGTCATGTCAGCACTCAAAAAGTTTTGGACTTCAAGGAATTTTGTATTTCAGATTTTCAGATTATGGATGCTCAGCCTGTATTTGGATGTATAAGCAGTTTGCACAACTTCCCTGAGAGTTGTATCATTTACAACAATTATAAAAAATGAAGGGTAGATTTTGCCAGTTATTTTTAGGAGGTCTGCAAAAGTCAAGTATAACATCTGATCTACTGTTGTATATTTTGAAATCTGAACTTTTATATTAAAGAAGAGTTTAAAATTATAATCCTGAAAGGCATTTTGTCATTGTCATTGAAACACAATTGATTTTCAGGGTTTGGAAAAGCTGCTTTTGTATTTGATAGTATTTCCTTTCTTCTCATAGGATCTTGACTGGTTCTTATGATAAGACTTCTCGGATCTGGTCCTTGGAAGGAAAGTCAATAATGACGATTGTGGGACACACAGATGTTGTAAAAGATGTGGCCTGGGCGAAAAAAGGTTTGGACTCTTTGCCTTTTAAACTGAGAGGAGTCCTAGACAGGGATTTGGAAACAAGCCATTTTTAGTGCTGGTGCAGATTGGGGAGTAGGCAGGAAACGTCTCATGTCTCAGTATTGTGAGGGCTTTCAAAAATACAGTGCTCAAGAAGAAAAAGTTTATTTTAAAAATTTGTAAATTGGTGGAAGTGAATCTACTAAAACCTCACCAGATAATATACAAATAGACAAGTTAATATTGAGTGTATTAAACTTACATATTCTATTTGAAGAATCTTCTCTTTATAGTGTGTTAGCTTTCTTTTTAACAGCTGGACATATGAACACTTATCTTTTCAGCACCTTTTTCAACAACAAAAAAATTCAGTTTCAGAACATAATGTATTTAAAACTGTGTACTGATTGGTTTCTTAATCTGTTCTCCTTTCTTCAGATGGTTTGTCTTGCTTATTACTGAGTGCCTCTATGGATCAGACTATTCTCTTATGGGAGTGGAATGTAGAGAGAAACAAGGTGAAAGCCCTACACTGCTGCAGAGGTCATGCTGGAAGTGTAGATTCTATAGCTGTTGATAGCTCAGGAACTAAAGTAAGTAGTTTTACTTACTCTAAGTGTGCTATTCATACTGTGTTAAATTAGAATGTGAGCTTTTAACTAAACATTTTCTTTTCTACATATATTTGTTGTGATTTGCCTACTTTCATACTGATCAGTGACTAAAGAATATAATTTCAAATCAAAAGTAAATATACAGTAAGAGATGTAAAGATTTACTGCCTTAGTGTGAGTTTCTCTGGTTTAGAACCTTATGTAAACTGCAGAAATTTTATGTAATGAGGTAAACAAACCATTTTTTTTTTTTTTTTTTTTTTTGGAGTCTAACTCTGTCACCCAGGCTGGAGTGCAGTGGCAGACTCCTGACCACCGAGGCCTCTACCTACTGGGCTCAGGCGATCCTCCTGCCTCAGCCTTCCAAGTAGCTGGAACTACAAGCACACGCCACCATGTCTGGCTATAAACAATTTCTTTTATACAACCTTACATCATAGTAATTGGTACATTTTCAGTGTATATCAATGTATATACTCTTAATTGCTGTCATCAGTTGAAAATGCCTAGCTGATCATCTGAGCCTTAGCATATTCTAAGGTTAGTTTAATAGAGTTTGTTTTACTACCAGTGCTGATCTATTCTTTATCCTGACAAACTGGTAAAAGTTAGTTAAAAGAAACAAAGGGAAATAGTATGTTGATTTATGAGGGGTTATAAACCCACTCACAATCTGAATGTTTCCTGAGCCACATTGAAGTGTTCTGGATTTAAGAGTGCTTCTTCAGTATCTTTGCCAGTTACAGTAACAGGATGTTTGCTGCATTCAAAGCTAAAGATGTATGGGTTTTCATATCGTGTCAAAAGGTTTACATGTTGGTAAGAGTCCATTTGAATGAATTAACTGTACCCTGGCTTCTGGCAGTAAGAAGCAGAAACTTATCTGGAACTTGTTTAACCTTAAAAGAAAATTTGTTGGATTGTGAAAATCAAGGAAGGACTGAACAGCCACCTCATAGGAAGGATGATGGGGCATTTGGGTGTCAGAACCCAATGGAATGGAAGCTTCAATGTGGCCAGCACACCCTCTCCCTCTCTTTTTTCCTCAAGCTGATTGTATTCTCTCTCACGTGAGACTGGTGTTCTCCATGTGGCAATAACCCTTGCCTTCAAAATCTCCTAGATTTTGCATTCTATCCTGTCTGTTCCTGGAAAAAGACTAATTTAAACTCTCTAGAACACAAGTTCTTTAAAAAGGTCTAGAGTGAGAAAGGGAACTATTTGTATAGGGTAGGTCTTGCCCACCCTTATGTAAGCATCCGTTGCCAGGGCACAGGGACATATAAGAATGGCAACTAGCCGGGCTCGGTGGCTCAGCCTGTAATCCTGCGCCTTTGGGAGGCTGAGGTGAGTGGTTTGCCTAAGCCCGCAGGTTCGAGACCTGCCTGAGCAGTGAGACCTCATCTCTACAATAAAAATTTAAAAATCGGCTGGGCATGGTAGCACATGCCTGTAGTTCCGGCTACTTGGAAGGCTGAAGTGGAAAGATCGCCGGAGCCCAGCAGGTCGAGCCTGCGGTGGCTGGGAGCGTCCACTGCACTCCAGTCTGGGTGACAGTGAGACTTCAACTCAAAAAAAATTAAATTAAATAAAAAAAAAGAATGGCAGCTTGGCCGGGCCTGGTGGCTCAGCCTGTAATCCCGTGCCTTTGGGAGGCTGAGGTGAGTGGATTGACTGAGCCCGCGGGTTCGAGACCCACCTGGGCAAGTTGACATCTCTACAATAAATAAAATTAAGCCAGGCTCGGTGACTCAGCCTGTAGTCCCGCGCCTTTGGGAGGCTGAGGTGAGTGGATTGCCTGAGCCCACGGGTTCTAGACCCGCCTGGGCAGGCGAGACCTCATCTCTACAGTGAATCGAACAAATTAGCCGGGCATGGTAGCACGCACCTGTAATTCCGGCTACTCGGAAGGCTGAGGCGGAAGGATCGCCGGAGCCCACATGTCGAGGCTG